GCGGTGGGGGTTCGCTATCCATTGCCTCGCGAATATACGGTAAATCGATATCTTCCAAAGAAGTCACATAGCCGACGTTGGTGTCTTCCTCGGAGCCGCTATCCTGCTGCTGTTGCGCGGCGGACCGATAACGTCCAGCGCGTCCACCGATCTGCTTGATCTCAGGCACGCTAAGTCTCTGAAGGCCTCCGGGAACGCGTTTGATCAACGTTTCGAAAATGATGCGCTTGCAGCTCCTGCTACAGTTAGACACGATACATAGACAGTATGTAGAGACAACTTACAAGTTCAAACCCATACCGATGGCGTCACTAGCAACGAGAAAGTCGTAGTCATTGTCAGGGTCGTTGAACAGACTGGCTTGCTGGGTCCGAATCTCAGCCGGCAGACTTCCATAGACGATGGCTGCCCGCTTTCCAGTATTCTTTTCGATGTCTGCTTTCAATGCATGGATACCGACACGAGAGAATGAAACCAAGCAATCTCCCTTTTGGAGATTCTTCAGGTCACCTTTGAGACTGCGGTTCTGAACCTTCAGCGGGTTCAGTCGCTCATACCGATGGATCTCGAGCTTGTCGCCAGTCAAGGCAGCCAATTCTTTGATCAAAGGCACAGCTCTGACTTCACCGCAGAGGTGCAGTTCCGTGGCACGCGCACCGAGCACGGCACGAGTCCAGGCCCACCCACGGTGAGGGTCCGCGATCATTTGGATCTCGTCAACAACACCGACCTCATATTGATCTCCCAAGCTAACCATCTCAACGGTGTTGCTAACAATTCTGGAGGGCTTTCCATCTTCAGGGATCTTGACATCATCACCAGTGATGAGACTGCAAGAAGTTCCATTCGCTTGGAAGCGATGGAAAACCTCCTGTGCCAGCAACCTCAAGGGACCAGCGTAAAAGCCGCGCTTGGATGCTTCCAAACGCTTGAGAGCGTGATACGTCTTTCCTGAATTTGTCGGTCCCACGTGCAGATGAATCGTTCGCTGCAAAGCGCGCGCTTGCGGATACCACTCGGCCGGGCGTCGCAAATCCGCCACCTTCTTCTGTGCTTCCAGATTGGGGGCTGAGTATCTCGACGTGACATCCTCTGCGTACATGTGAAATTCCAGCTCGTTGATTAAACCCCGAACACCATTTTGGAGGTAAGATCTATGCAGCGCATCCTTGATGTGGCGTAGTGGACCAACACTTTTTCGCTCGTCTAGTTTACATGCGTTCAGCATGGTTCGTTCAAACCGGGCCCAATTAGCCAAAGCTGGGTCATCTTTATCTGTAAGATTCTGCCGGTATATGCTCAAAGCGTGTGTTACGACGCCTGCGAAATCTTTGGCTGCAAGCGTTTGTCGGGTGTTCCGTTTCGAAGCGAAGGATGGGGGAGCAGATCTCTTGGAGGACTATACGTAGATCAAAAGTCAGCCATTTGAAATCAGAGATAATGGACGAGTAGTGGGGTAGGGTGATGGATATGTACCGTAGCTCCCTCATTTTTCTTTTCAAGGCTTTGTAGATGGCGCTGTTTCTTGGAAGGCCTCACGGATCTCTGCAGCACCGGAGATGTCACAAATGTCCTGACGGGACGTGACACCGACTGGAAGGTGCAGAAGAGGCAATAGTTGCCTCTGCGACTCCATGACTGCATCCCACCGAGCTGTGCCGGGAGCAATGTCAAATCGAATGATTGCCGTTGCTATCAAGCTGCGGAGCGGGTGCTGCGGAGATCGGAAATGTAGTTTAACTGTTAAAGGCGAAAGAGAAGAGAAAAACGAAGGACTGATTTGGGAGATCCAAAAGGAACCGAAACAAGTAACCCCTGACCAGTCAGAGACCAATCACCGCATCGTCCTGCAACCGCGCACGAGGGAGGGAATAGTTGTTGAAAACCGAGGATACTATCTGGATGGCAATCATTCGCCATCGGCTTTTTCTGGCGGCCTGAGTGCCTGGGTGCCTCATTGCCTGCAGCTGACGATCGCCGCCGACTAACCGGAACAGGAAGGGGAGGGGTCACACCGCCTGGCGGATCGGGAGATTAGACAGGAAGAATGATGCTTTTGACCCGCTGGGGAGAAAGAGCAGAAAGAGGGTCTCTTCTTGTCTCAGTCTCCAGTCTCGGGGATATCCTGAGTCCCGACTTACGTTTCAAAAAGATAGCCTGCCCGCATCGCTGGTGTCCATTACGGCTGCCCCTGAGTATTGTTCTCCATTACATCCCCCCTCCATTGCTGGCTCTGGCTGTGCCTTATCTTCCGGTTCCCTCCCTACCGCTCCCCCGTCATTCCCCTCCCCAGCAATCGTGAAGTCTAGTGTCTATGCCCCCGTGAGGGCTGCCGGTCAGCCACAATGAGCTCCTCAATCCTCAACATCCAGCGTGATCGTGAGTATTCCCTGCCTTATACTTATAGACTATTCATATATTAATTTATTCATCTGCTAGTTATTTTGAATACGATCCGTTATGCGGCGGGTAATGAGGTGCGATTGCTTCCCCTCCCCTTCTCCTTACCGTGGATTTGGCCCCCGCTTCGTTCCACCCCGCCGCAGAACTGACAATTTGTCTACAGTGGAAGGTCTTGGTGGTGGACGAGACCAGTCGCAAGCTGATCGACAATGCGGTCAGTGAGGATGATATTCTCAATCTCAATGTCACCAGTAAGTTACCCTCTGTTCATTCCTCGTCGTCCCGGTGCGGCGCTAATGGCCTCCCGCAAGATGTTGAGCAGATCGAGCATCGGCGCTCCCCCAATCCGACGATGGATGCGCTGTATATCCTCTCGCCCCTCCCACACATTGTCGACTGTATTATGGCGGACTTTGAGAGGAAGAGATACCGGAAAGCGTGGTTGGTTTGGACATCATGTCGGGCACCTGCTTCCTGAATGGCCGCTTGGTGCTGACGTCGCTCGCAGTTCTCGATCCGCAACAGCGCGCTAGATTGGACCGTTCCCAGATTGCTCGCGACCAGATCGCCAATGTTCAGATTATGAATGCCGACTATTTCCCCAGGGAATCGCGCCTGATTACCTTCCGAGACCCGTGGAGCTTTCCGGTGTTGTTCCACCCTGGTTGTAATCACTTGATCCGCGCACACTTGGAGGGTTTGGCGCAGAAGGTGAGCTAGGCCACCTGTGTATATTGAGCTGGTTTTGACTGGACAGGTTGTGTCGCTCTGTGCGAGCTTAGGAGAGTACCCAGTGATCCGGTACTACCGCCCCCGGGCCCCGACACACGAGGCCAGCGTACTGTGTTCACACCTGGCGCGGTTCATTCAGAACGAGCTGGATCAGTTTGCGCAATTCCAGCGCGACTTTCCGCCCCCGTCTCCCAGACCGCGCGGAGTGCTGTTGATCGTGGATCGGTCCATGGACCTGGTCGCGCCCTTGCTCCATGAATTTACATATCAGTCCATGGTGCACGATCTGCTTCCGATCAGCGATGGCGACAAGGTTACTTACAAGACTGTCATCAATGAGGGAAGCCACAACGAGGAAGTCAAGGATATGGAGATCAACGAAGAAGACAGTGTTTGGGTGGAGTATCGCCACATGCATATGAAGGACGTGCTCGGCAAGCTAGGTGAAGACTTTGCCAAGTTCCGAGCTGCCAACCCTCAGTTTGCGGAAGAGTGAGTGACGGCTGTTGATGGTCTTTCTTTCCTTACTAACGGCGCTGCAGCAATGATAAAGCGAACGTGAACACTATCAAGGACATGCTGGCGGGCCTGACAGAGTTCCAAAAGGGAAGAGATGCTTATACACTGCACCTTAACATGGCGCAGGAGTGTATGAGTTACTTCCAGAAACACAAGCTCATCGAAGTAAGCTCGGTTGAACAATGCTTCGCCACCGGCATGGACGAGAACTACAAGAAGGCAAAGAACCTGGCTTCCCAGCTGGTGCAATTGCTAGACGACGATGCGATCAAGCAGCCAGAGCGACTGAGGTTGTTGCTGCTTTACATTATCTACCGGGGAGGCATCCTCGCGGGTGATATCCGGAAGCTCTTGGCACACGCGCAACTTGCACCGCAGGACGGTGAAATTGTAGCCAACCTCGATCTACTTGGAGCCCGTGTGGAGAAGCCTCTGAAGGACGATAAGCCACCCGTGCAGCCGCTGTTCACCAGGAAGCCGCCGTCTGGGCCCATCGACGAAGAGGAAAGTCTCTCGCGCTACGACCTGAACCTCAAGTTGATCTTGGAGGAGCTGGTGCGCGGCACGCTGGACCCCGGCGTCTTCCCGTTCACGCGGCCACACACGGATGCCGACTCGCCGGGACAACAAGAGAGTTTGTCCCAGGCGTCGCTGCGCAGTGCCAAACCGACGTGGGCACGGACACGGTCTACTGGCGAGCAGCCGAAACAGCGGATCATCGTGTTCATGGCAGGTGGTGCTACATATGGAGAGGCACGCACATGCTACGAGATCTCGCAGTCGTGCGGCAAGGACGTGTTCCTGGCCACATCGCACATGCTGTCTCCCGGACTGTTCCTGCGCCAGGTGGGCGATCTTAGTGTAGACCGACGCCGGCTCGACATTCCCGCCGAACGGCCCAAGCCCACAGCGCCGGCGCATCTCTTCGAGCGGGAAGCTCCACCGCCACCGGCACAGCCCGTGAAGAAGCCGGTCCCAGTGAATCTGAACCCGATGGCACCGACATCCGCGCTGGCGACGATGTCACTGGGACCGAACGGCAGAGCAACGAACGGAGCAGCGCCGCCAGAGAAAGAGAAGGATAAGAAGGAGAAGAAAGAGAAGAAGGAAAAGAAGCACCGCTTCTTCCGGTAGCCTTGGCCATTCTTTCAACTGAACCAGCCTTGTTCCGCAGCACACCTCCTGCGAACATTAATACTAGCCTCTAGTATCTTCTGTGTATGTAGTGACTATGTATGTACCATGCAGACCAGCAGAACCCTAATACTTATTCGAACTCCTGGGTATATACCAAACAACCAACGCCTCCCATCCCGAAACCAATGATAAAAAAACAAGAACACAACCTACTTCCCATGAAGATACCTCAACACATCCTCATCCTGGAAAAACAACTCCCGTAACCTCTCCCCCTTCTTCCTCTCCTCCAACTGTCCCTTCCTCGCCTCCTTCGCATTCAACACCTTCTTCTTCTGCACCCTCCCCCTCCCACCTTTATCTCCACTCTTATCCTTAACCTCAGGAACAACAGCCCCCAACCCCACCGTATCCTCCTTCACCTTCCCCTTCACCGGCTCCCGTATTCCCTCTCTTCCTTGAGGTCCCAATCCCACCCGCGAATCCGGATCCCAGCCGTACGCAGCTAAGTAGCGCAGTCCGGGACGTGTGCGATCAAGATGAGACGGCGGATGCGAATGCGGGAGACTCAGTTGATGCGGGAGTGTAGCTTCATGTATATGCCTCCTCCTTTCTCCTGTTCCTCCTTCTATTCCTCCGTCTGATGTGTCATGTGTAGGCGTAGTGTAGGGAAGGTTACACACGGGACAAATCTCAACATCTTCTCCTCCTTCCTCCTTCTGCTCACTATGTGATCGTGAATCCGAACTCGGTTCTGATTCCGGTGTAGGTTGTGATTCTGTAGGAGGAGTAGCCGGATTCGATTTCGACTTCGACAGAACAATCGAGAGGTATTTATTCGCTATACTTTGCCCGGTCGAAGTAGAAGGGGTTGCTGGCTCAGAGGATGATACTCGTGTGGTAGAGAGATGTTGCTGATGTTGTTCGGAGGAGCGCACGAACGGCACGCGCTTGCGACGGATCCCTGCGCCGAAGACTCGTTGATCTTGCAGGGGGAGGAAGTATTCGTCTTCATCTTCTTCGTTATCTATTTCTCTGTTGTTGGGTGGCATTGTCCATACCCTTTTATTTTTCTTTTTCTTTGTAGGATAGTGAGTGAGAAGTAAGGAAGTTAGGGAGTGTAATGGCAGGCAGCTCAAAGTGGCGGGAGATCGGCCGCTAAGATATGTACCGTAACCTCCGACGGAGTGTCTGGACTTAACTCCGTCAGACATATCTGTCTCCTCCGTCTGTCTATCTTCCCTCCCCTCCCTTTCACTACAACCACAACCAACAATAGTTGTTGCTCCGGCAAAATGCCCATCCCCATCATCACAACAGCAATAACAGAAGGCACAAACTCCATCCCACACCTATGGAGCATACTAAAACTCCTCCCCTGGGCGGTGCTCCTCGCGGCCCTGAAATATTATTTCGGGGGTGCTAGAAATACCTCTGAGCGGTTGATGCATTCGAAAGTCGTTATGATTACTGTAATCCCTCCCCCTCCCTTATCCCCATCCCCAATTCCCCATCAATACTAATATATTCCCCCTGGGGGAAAAACAGGGCGGCACATCCGGCATCGGCGCCCAAGTAACCTCCGCGCTCGCCTCACGCGGCGCCCAAATCATCCTCCTAACGCAACATCCACCAACCGACATCTTCCTCTCCGAATACATCGAGGACCTCCGACGGAGCACCAACAACCAACTAATCTACGCAGAACAAGTCGATCTCTCCTCCTTACACTCCATCCGCACCTTCGCCACGAAATGGATCGATAATGTGCCCCCGCGACGCCTGGACATGGTGATTCTCTGCGGAAATGCAGCGCCGCCCGTATCCCAGAAACGGAAGCTGACCGTGGACGGCATCGACGAGGAGTGGATGGTGAATTACCTGGCGAATTTCCATCTGCTGAGTATACTTTCGCCGGCGTTGAGGGCGCAGCCGGCGCATCGGGATGTGAGGGTTGTGTTTACCACGTGTTCGAGTTATATTGGCGCGAAGTGGGATTTGAGGAAGGTGGAGGAGGCTGCTGCTGTTACTGCTGCGCAGGGGGATAATGGGGGTAGTGGGGGTAATGGGGATGGGAGGAGGGTAGTGATGAAGAACGGGAAGTTACAACGGGAAAAGGCCAAGCCCAAGGCTAAAAAGGCGGCTAAAGGGGTCAGTTTATACGGACTCAGCAAGCTCTCGCTGATGGTGTTTGCGCAATCGTTCCAGAAACATCTCAATGCGTTTAAGAGGCCGGATAACCAGCCGTGCAGTGCGCGGGTGATTATGGTGGATCCGGGGTTTAGTCGGACGCCTGGGATGAGGAGGTGGATGACCGGGGGATCGTTGTGGGGACTGTTGTTGTATTTGGTGACGTGGCCGGTGTGGTGGTTGGTGTTGAAGTCGCCGCAGCAGGGGGCGCAGAGTGTGTTGTATGCGGCGATGGAGGCGGAGTATGGACGTGGGGAAGGGGGGTGGATGATTAAGGAGTGTAAGGAGGTGGATTTGGCGAGGAAGGAGATCAAGGATGAGGAGGCCGGGAAGATGTTGTGGGAGTTTAGTGAGAAGTTGATTGAGGTTAAGGAGAGGGAGTCGGCGGTGCGGAGGGCGTTGGCGAATAAGGAGAAGGAGGTGGCAGAGCAGATGGAGAAGAATAAGGCGTCTGGATCTGGGACGAAGGAACAGACGCCCGGGTCGAGGAGGAGTCGGAAGGGGAAATAGGTGTATACTAAGTAATTTTATAGATTAGGTAGGGTTGGGTGTACATTATCACATTGATCTGTATTGATAGAGTTACGTGATTCAGGTCTATCCTATCGCTGCATATTGCATGGCGAAATCACAGTTACATCAACATCACATCAAGCTCTGCTCTCTAGATACAACAAGGAAAAAGGAAATTCGTCATCCAATTAGCAAGTCCAATCGTGTCTCTATCGATTTTCCTGGCAAGAAAAAGAAGAAATTCTAAGCATATGCGGGGTCATTATTTATTTCTGCAGCTTCTCCAGCAGCTCGGCCGGGGGCTGTTGGCGGTAACCCTGGGGGTTGTTGCGGGTCCACAGCCAGAGGTCCTCGCAGGCCTGCTCGAGGGTGCGCTCGGCCTTCCAGCCCAGCTCGTTGTTGGCGCGCGTGGGGTTGGAGGTCAGGTTGAGCACGTCACCGGCACGGCGGGGAGCAACCTCGTAGGGGAGGTCACGGCCCACGGCCGCCGAGAAGGCACGGATCATCTCGTAGACAGTGCTGCCCTTGCCGGTACCCAAGTTCCAGGCACGGACTCCGGGGTTGTTGGCGCGGAGGTAGTTCAGGGCCTTCAAGTGACCATCTGCCAGGTCGAGGATGTGGATGTAGTCGCGGATGGCGGTTCCGTCGTGGGAGGCGTAGTCTGATGAGTTAGTTAGATGCTAAGTACGAAGTATATTACTGCAAAAACTTACCATCTCCGAAGACGAGGAGCTTCTCACGCTTGCCGGTGGCCACCTGGGCAAGAAGGGGAAGCAGGTTGTAGGGGACACCCTGGGGGTCCTCACCCATGATACCAGAGGGGTGAGCACCGGCGGGGTTGAAGTAACGGAGCAGAGCACCGTTCCACTTCTGGGCCTCGGCCTCGTTGCCGGCCTTGATGGCGTTGTTGCGCTGAGCGTTGATGACATCGGTGATGGCAGTCTCGACGGCGAACTTGGTGTTACCGTAGGGGTTGGTGGGGCCCAGAGGGCACTCCTCGGGGATGGGGATCATGTTGGGGAAGCGAGTGGCATCACCGTAGACGGTGGCGGAGGAGGAGAAGACGATGTTGGTGACATTGTGGCGGACCATGGAGCGCAGGAGGCAGATGGTGCCGTAGACGTTGACGTGGTAGTAGTCCAGAGGCTTCTCACCGGACTCACCGACGGCCTAGATACTAGTCAGCCAGGAACCTCAATTGATGCGCGAGAGATATGCAGAGAGGTAGATCGACGCAGAGGCAGATAACGGTATAGAAAAGAGGAAAGTAGGGGAAGCGCACCTTCAGAGCAGCAAAGTGGATGACGCTGTCAATGTCGGGGTGGGCCTCAAAGACACGGTCGAAGCCAGCCTCGTCGGTGACATCGAGCTGAGCGAACTCGGCCTTCTTACCGCTGATCAACTCAATGCGCTTGAGGGCCTCAGCGGAGGAGTTGTAGAGGTTGTCAGCGACGACGACCTTGTAGCCAGCCTCGAGGAGAGCGAGGGTGGTGAAAGAGCCAATGTAGCCCGTTCCACTGTTTGGGGGGAAAATTGCGGGGTCAGCGGGTGGGATGGAGGGACAAAGGCATTGATGGGAAGCTTACCCGGTGACAAGAACTGATCCAGCAGGCATGATGATGGTGTATGATTAGGATGAAGGATGAGAGGGAAAGATAGAGTCGTAGGTAAAGAGGAAGAGAGAGAGAGAGAGAGAAGATGAAGAGGGAAATGGAAAGAAGATGAAACGGAAAGGTAAGATGGCGCAAACGGAGATTTGGGGGGGAAGAAAGTCGGGCGGCGGGGACGGGATATTTAAGGGGCGGCCGCAATTGGTGCTTCCAATGGAGTCACAAGTAAGTACTTACTCCGTAATATTCAGGTACAGGTGAGTGAGTGAGTTACTCTTCTTGCCTAATTGCCTCTTCTACTGCCTTACTCTGTCTGCCTTTCTCACTCTTCTTCTCTAACAAACCCCCTTTTGCCATATTCCCATATTACCATATTCCCACCTGCTGATCAACCAAGACAGTCTACGTAAACGGCCCTCAACCACGGGACGATCCATATTAATTCTCCCCCCCGCCATTATTATCCCACATCCCACCACCACCACCACATCACACCATCCAGATATTGATTCAAAATACTTTGTGTTTTGTATATGTATCAGTATCACAGCTGCAGATGCATGCATATATGCAACAATGCTGCATAACAATCGGAGTAAAGTTCAGGCCAAAATAAAAGTAAAAAAGTACTGACTTACGGAGTTTTTCTACCCCTCCAAACCAGATCCAGCCATGTGCATACTGCATATCCATAAAGATAATACCTTGTTTGATCATCATCTTATTCATTTACAGTCTTCCTTCCAATCGGCTAATTAAGTATCATACAAAGTAGATAGATAGATGAATAGATAGACAAAGAAACTGAAACATACACACGGCCCGAGACAAGTCCGTCCGTCACGGCTAATTGACTTGATTGCACCACCTCCAGATACTATCTACATATGCCCTGTTCCTTGCAAGGTACCATACTAATACAACAATAGTATTATTAGTATGATGGCACCATGCTATTATTCTCTTATTCTCTCATTTTCCCTTTTAACCAGCACCAGCACCAGCCAGACTCAGGAACCAGACTCAGCAGTGGATCCAAGGCACCTCAAGTTCCCAGTTCCCACTTCCGACTCAGTCAATCAGTAAGTACTAAAGTAGCAGCTGAAGTGGACCGCTTCCACCCGATCCCAAGGGTCCAATCAACCATGGGTGGGCTGTCACGCTGAGTGCCATTTGCCTCTTTCTCTTTCTCCTCCTACCTTGTAATAAATTCCATGGTTTGTTAAGGGGCGATATTATGTTACGGAATTAAGGAAACGATCTGCGAGTGTCAGGTTGCTATACCTAATACCTACCAACCTATCTACTTGAGTCTGTTGCTGATGACGATTGGCGATGATGATCAGGGTAAATGAGGGAGGGTCCATGTGCTGATGAGATATGTCTGGTCATTTTCAGGGGTAGATGCAATGCATTGTTAGTATATTTTCTCCAGTTACTTGTGAAGTAATTAATGCTCATCCCGAACAGGTGGTCTTTGTTGGTTTGGTCTGGTCTGGTCTTCTCTGGTCCGAGTCCCCACTGGTTTACTTGCTTGCTTGCTAATAGCTTCCAGGTAGGATACGTAGTATATTCCTGTGTAGTATGGAGTATATTAAGGAATAGTATACAGTGAAATAGAATATAATGTCATAATGTAACTAGTTAGTTTATGTGCCTGCATAATCCCTCACTCCAAAGAGCAAACTAGTGGAGGTTGGAATGAAGTAGTGGCCTGATGAACCATAAATCGCAGGTGACAACTATCCGCATGCGGTTGTGTGGGGTAGTGGTTATCCCTTCGGATTTTGAGTACTTCTTGTGCTTCGGAAGTTCCGACAACCCCGGTTCGAACCCGGGCACGACCTGAGTAATTTATTGCTTTTTGATCCATATTTCTTTTTTTTTTTTCTTCTACTTTGCATCATAGCATGCATGCTACGTAAGATGGGGATGGTGCTGTTGTTCTGCTACTGTAGATGTGAGATATTTACTAGAGCAGTGTTTATTTGAGGTGATGTCTTGATATCAATTGCTAGGATGATGTAGTACTATATAAATAACTACTACAGCAAAGTTACTTGTTAGTCAATTGGCATTTATCCTGATTTTGATCATATTTAATTCACTGTTTGCTACTCCACCATATCCGTCACCTTTGCATACACCCGCACCAACCCTTTCTCCGTCCCAGGAACAATCCTATCGCATGTGATGCGTATACTCTCCGTGCCGGTGCTCTCCACATCAAAGTTGAACCGACGCATCACATGCGCAATAGTCAGGTAGAGCTCAATGTATGCCAGACTGTTGAACTCGTTAGTAGCAGACACTGCAACAGCGGTAGGGGCAGAACTGACTTCATCCCAATGCACGCTCGACTCCCCCTCATAAACGATACAATATATCGTGTTAGATTTACCCCTTCCTCGGCAGCCTTGATCCAGCGCTCCGGATCGAATCTGTCCGGCTCGGGAAAGAGGGATGGGTCGCGATGGACGAACCAAGTGGAAGTGCTCATTGGTGTCTATCCAGGATTTTAGCTTATGACAGGTTTGCAAAAGCAGAGCGATAGATTAACGTACCCCCGGTGGAAGCACATAGTTCTTGTACTTCAGAGTTTCAGTCGGTGCCACGCGGGGCAGCCGCATAATCAGCCCATAGGACAATCTTAGTGACTCATTTACAACGGCCGCCTGGAGGTGCAAGTCAGTAAGGATGAAAATCAGTGTTGCAGGCTCACGACATACCAAATACGGCAGCTTCTCCAGCTCCGGCCAGGTCGCTGTACTGGTAGGTGTGGGCAGGACCTGCTTCAGTTCACTCCGCAGCTTGTCTCGTATGCTTTTGTCTCGCGACACATAGTAGGTCATGATCATCAAGGTACTCGCGGTCGTTTCTGTGCCTGCACCAAGAAGCGTGAACACCTCGTCCTCGATGCGACGCTGGCTTCTTTCCGCGACTGGTAAGCTGGGGTCCGTCAACCTCTTGAAGATGGTCCGGTCGCCCTTCCCCGATGCCTTGGAGCCATCCTGCGTGTTTTCGGATATCGTACTCAGAATGGAACCCTGGAACTGGAGCATACCGGCCTTGCCGGGGAGACATAGGGCCATCAGATGCAGCGGAATCTTGCGCATTGTTTCCGGCACAAAAGGAAAGAAGCGGTTGAAGTGGGCAAGTCCAGTATTCTCTTCATTACCTCCGTGAACGTCGCTGCGGAAGTCCTTGTCCTCGATGAATCCCCAGCGCTTTCCATAGCAGTAATAGGTGATTACGTCCGAAGTCAGCGCGGCAAATGCATCGCTCAGATTAACTACACTCTGATCGCGATAGAACCCCTCGAAGCGCCCCATAAGCTTTCCCACCCGCTCCTCGATGAAGGGAGATATGGCAAGGACAGACCGCTTG